CCCATACACACCCATGGCCTGAGAAGAGGAAGAGAGGGCCATCAGGACATATGGCAGAAGGGATATCACAACCCACCAAAAGCTAAAAAAAAAAGGTGGGGCTGTGGTTAGTCGGCTTGTTTTTCCTTTTTCCCTCTCTCAAAAGTCAGTCTCATAAGCTTTGGAGTCAAGTTCTAGGAATTTTACAAACTACCAGAGCAGGGCCACCCTCAGAATACTATACAAATATCGGGGTGGGGGCGGGGGGGAGTCTTAAGAGCTTCCCTATCTCAAGGGATGAGGGGGGCATCTCATCCTTAGAGATTCATTATCTACAGGAAATGAAGGGAGGCCTAGATCTCAGGGCACTCTGAAAGCCTCGCAAGAATGTCAAACTCACAGCCAGCGGGCCGAGAGTCTGACACGCTTGCGTGTGGTAATGTAAATGGTGCTGGTGGTGGTAGGGGCTCAGTCTCTGGCATTGGTGCTTTGTGCCAGATCCTCAGGGCACGCTAACCTGAGCCACCATACTGGTGACATCGCTGGGGTTGGAGGGCAGCAGGATAGTGTTGGAGTCCTTGGCCAGTTTGGAGAACGCGCTGACATACTGCTCAGCCACAGTCAGTGAGGCCGCTGCATCTCCATTCTGTGGCCACAGGAGGGATACAGTCAGGGATCACAGACTTAGAGAAGGGTGTGGGGTGGGGAGGGGGAGTGGAGAGGAAAAGTCAGGTTCCTGGAAAGAGGATATGCATATCACCAGAGATCATATAACCTGGCTCCATAAAACCCACAAAGGCAGGAACTTCTCCCAAGGGTAGATAAGAGAACCTTTTCCACTGTCAATTTCTGTCTCCCACTCCCACCGAGGGGCCGCTCACGTGTTGTGTCAGAGCTGCAGCCAGGATGCGAATAGCTTCAGCTTTCGCTTTGGCCTTGGCCAGAACTGCACTGGCTTCCCCTGGAAGAAAAGAGACAGAACTAGACCCATGAGGTGAGGTGACCCCATCCCCCCAAGCTCCTGCCCCAGAACCCACCCTCAGAGACCCGTGCCCTGCTCTTCCCTCAGGCTCTACCCTCTGCTGACCTGCTGCCTGATTTATTTGTTCAGCCTTTTCTGCCTCCGAGGCTAGGATCTGTGCCTGCTTCTTTCCTTCTGCCACATTGATGGCTGACTCTCGGGTCCCCTCAGACTCTAAAACTGTGGCCCGTTTCCGCCGCTCTGCCTCCACCTGCAATCCCCCAGCAACACCAATCAACAAGAAATCAGAGTAAAACTCTTACACAGACCTGCAACTGCACCCATCACAATAGGGGAGTCCAGGTTCCCATACAAGCAGAGCATGGGCAGTCCTCCCTGGGCCCTACCTGCATCTGCATGGACTCTTTCACCCGGGGCGGCACGTGGATGTCCTTGATCTCGTAACGGAGGCAGCGGATGCCCCAGCAGTCGGCAGCCTGGTTGATGGCATCCACAATGTTAGCGTTCAGGGACTCCCGCTCCTGGAGGAAGAGAGGCGTAAAAGAGGTATAAGCCTCAACCCACTCAGCTGAGAAGGATCTAGGGTAGATCTTGACCCCCAGAAAGGACTGAAGAGTGCCAAGCCTATGTCTTCAAACCCTAACTCTGGCTCAGATCCCCTTACCCGGAAGACTTTGTCGAGAGAGAGTTTGCCAAGCTCTGATCTCATGGTTGTCTGAGCCAGCTGGGTGACAGCATATTCAGGATCCTCCACGCCGTAGCTTGCCTGAAAGGAATATGGACAGTGTAGGAAGCTTGGGTGCAGGATTTTAGTGAGGAGAGCACATCAGGAGCTGAATAAAGCAGAAGACAGATACCTTGTAAGGATCCATGATGCGCAGGTAAAGGACTCCATCGATTTGCAGAGTTACATTGTCTGCAGGGCAGGAGCAGGAGAGAAAAGGAGGAAGGTCAGACCTCCAGGTCCCAATCAGCTCCTTCTCCTAAGCTCTGGGTCTCCAGCAACCACACCCTACTGGCCTCAGAGCACCCAAGTCACCCTGCACCCCTCACCGAGAGTCACAGCCGACTGCTCAGGCACGTTGATGACAATTTCCTTGAGACTCTGCACATATCGGATCCGGTCTAACACAGGGATGAGCACGTTCAGGCCCTGGGAAGAAGAGTCATGGGTCTTCAGAAGGATGTGGGGTTGGCATCCAAGCTAGGCCTGGAATGGGTAGGGAATCAACAAATGGACATGCCCAGAAAAGCAGAAGGCTGGGGGTGTCAATGGTAGGGAAGCCCAAGAGAACAGGAATGAGAAGTTTGTCCTCTGAATGGATGGGAGAATCAAGGGAATGGGGGCCAGCAGAGTCTATCTTTCTCCTTGCAGAGGGTGCAGCTGGGAGTGGGTCGGGGAGAGTCCCGCGGATGGAGGATGCTAGGGCAACAGGAAGAGGTGGGAGCATGGTTATGACCGTCAGCAGCCTGGGCTCCGGCCGGTCTGGCCGAGGGAGTTGCAAGCCCAAGGTGAGGGCAGACCCCCAGGAGGTACTCTCATCACCACCCCCGCCATCGTGAGGGAACGGGGAGTCCGGCTGGCCCGGGTGAGCAGAAGAGGGTCTCACAGGCTCCAGGATGCGGTGAAATCGGCCCATTCGCTCCACCACCCAGGCCTCCTGCTGCGGCACAAAGAGCACCACGGTGTTTCGGGGCAATCCTGAGGAGGCACGGCGCGGAGCGCGGCCAGAAGCCTGCAGGGAACCCTGCAGGGAAGACGGGGGTTAGCGGACATCCCGGCCGGCTGGGCGCCGGTTCGGGAGGCATCTTCCTACGCCGCCGGAGAAGGGCTCACGTGGGGACCATGACCTCTGACCCCAGCTCTCGAACCGAACTTGGAATCCCTCTCCTTCCCTGATCAGGACCCGGGTGATCTCTAGCCCAACCCTTGGAGGAGGCTGCCTTGTTCCTACCCTCAGCAAAAGGGCCCCGGTGCCCCGCGCCGCGCGCGCCAGCATTTCCCACGGCCGTGGAGACCTCCGGAACCAACGAGATGCGGAGCAGAGCGGCCGCTCTAGACTAGAGGGCGGACCTCCGCCTTTTTTCCTCCGGTATTTCCACTCCTCCGGATGCACTTCCGGTCGCCTCTTGGCTCCCTCACTCATTTCACACTCAGCCAATCAGCGTTTACGTGGCAGAAGCGTGCTTCAAGGTGTTTCCTGGGAAACGCAGACCGAGAGAGGGCCCAAGGGTGGAGCTTGTTATGGTTCTCGCGGATCCAGCTGAAGATCCCCGGCGCGGGGACCAAAATGAAGGCTAATTCCGTGTGCTGGTGGCTCAGACACACCTCCCACCGAGTTCTTACCCCCACAAGAGAGAGACAGTTTACCCTTCTGAGCTTCTAACCGCGTCCATCGGTCACCATAACGACCAGGGTATTGGAGCTGACTCGTAGCCACGGTTGCCGGTTGCCATAGTGACATTCTCTGGCAGTCCTGCTGTGATATACCCAGCCCTCCCACCGGGGACTGACCCCATTCCTGTTGCCATGGTGACTGGGCCTAACATTGTCCGGTAATTGGTCTGAGGTTTCCCCCTTCCCTCTTTTCCCAAGGCACCATAGCTTTTTCTACCCCTTCCGAGTCAGGGTCTATCAGGTCTGATACCCTTGCAGAGTCCAGCAGAGCCCTGGTTCAGCCTTGTCTGGAATATGTCACCCTGCACACATGCCTGATGCTCTGGCACATCCTTTGAGAGACTTGCATATTGACCCTCATTTTATATATCAGGGCAATAAAGCTCAGAGGGGCTAAAATCATTAACAGAACTAGTACAAAAATTCATGTACACAGAGAGTTCAACTTTTATGACTAAATCTTCCCTACCTCCTAACCCCATTAACTGAAAAAAGCAAGACCAGACCCTGAGGCTCTGCAGGACTTCACCTAAGACCTCATGGCCTCAGGCCCCCTTTCTGAAAGAAGGGCAGAGTCCCAACTTCAAATTGGCCATCCACCCCCATTCCCATGCTCTCAAAAGAAAAAGTACAGCTTAGCTCAAGTTTCCAAACAAGAATTTATTTTCTTTCTATCTTTTTTTTCTCTAAAAAAAAAAAAAAAAAAAGTACCAGGTACAATTTTTCCGGTGTTTTGTTTTTTTTCAAGTTTCAACAAATGCTTGTTCCCCTCAGCCCAGCCCCAGGAGTCAGGGCTAAGGCTGTCAGAGTCTGGAGTGGGATATGGGGTAGTTGGGAACCACATGATTGAGTTTGAGGGGTGCCCTTCACCCCAGCTGAGGTAGGTGGGTCAGAGTCTGGCCAGGTGAGAGGAAGCATCCCGGTCCTTGGCCCTGACTCTGTCCCCTGAACACCTTCCTCAGTCAGGACCCCAAAGCAAGGAGACACAAGCAGGAGAGGGACAACTGGAGTCTGGAGCCCTAGATGAGGGGTAGTTAACCCCATGTGTGTGCACATGCATGCATGTTCTCTTTCTCACACACATACCATACACACAAGCTTGTGTACACACACACACACACACACACACACACACACACATACATATAAGTTGCTTTCAGAGAGGGGTCAGAGGATAGAGGAAGTGAACAATATAGGGAAGGACAGGAGAAGGTGAGTGTTTGGCTAGTAACTCAGTCCTTCTGGGATAACCTCTCTGCCCTCAGCTGAGGGAGAGCCGTTCTCCTTCAGCCCCAACATCAGCCTCTTCAATTCCTGAAATTGGAGCAATATCTGAGTGGGAAAGAAGGTGGAGCAATGCCAAATATTGGGTTTGGGAGGTTACCAAGGCAATCCAATCCGAATAAATTATTAATTAAAAATAAATAAAATAATAAGTGGCCCCTGCCTAGGGCAGGGAGGCAATGTTGGCATGATTTGCCTGGGGACTTGGGACAACCTCAGGGTACCTCCAGTTCCTCCTCTCACTCCCTAGCTCGTCTGGAAATTCCAAGGGAGGGGGCAGGCACGTGGAGAACCCAGAGTAGGGCAGATCGTGGTAAGGATCAGAAGCTTTAAATACCCAAATAATCAATTTGGGCATAAGCATGGTGAGGGCTTTAATTCAAGCCTGAAGGGTCTCTTGCCACCTCTCCACGTGTTTGCTTTGTCCAGGATGGAGCAGGATGGGCTGGTCCTTGGCCCACATGGTTCAGGGCATTGGCAATCAGGGCAAAGGTGAATAACGTGGATTGTGAGGGGCCTCAGTCACAGCCTGCAGTTCATAGGGGAGCCCTGTGTCCAGTTCCAGGCTCCGGCGGGAAAAAAGCAGGCGGATGTCTCCATGCAGGCTTAAGCGGCCTGAGCGGGAGCTCCGAAACCTGGGGGAGGAAAGGGTGACCGCAATAAGGATCCAGACAGCAGAGAAGCAAGGAGAGATCCTCTTCGGGGAAGGGATACATGTGTCGGTGAAAGGATGCCTGGGTCTCCCCAGCTGCCCCTGGGCCCTATCCTCACCTGAGGTGCAGCAAGTAGCAGAGGAGACGGTGGGTGGGGCTAGCATTTCCCTCCTCACCCACAGGCACCAAAAAGAGGCGATGGCGCAAGAAGGTCATGTGGGCAGCAGGCATGTCCGAGAAGTCAAAGGTCACAAGGAACATCTTCACCACAGTCTGGTTGGGGTTAAATAAGGTCTGGGGGGCAGGACAAGCAAGGTTGGTAGGGCCAAAGGGCTGTTTTCCTCTCCCCACTCCCGCACCCACTCGCCCTCAGGGAAAACTCACCACTTGGACGGTGCCCACTTTGGGCACGCTGTAACCCTTCCTCCCCAGGGGGCTCAGGTCCACGACGCCCTGGGAAGGCCATAGAGCCATCAGCCTATGGGCATTGGGAGAGCCCTGAATACCCATCCATCTCCACAGTCTCACTCTGGGACCTGGCCCTGTCCCCCACTAGAGTTGTCCCTACTGCCCCGACTCTTTTCTAGGTGAGGAACACCTAAAGAATACCTCATGCCCCCAATCCCTCCTCCTCAAGAGCTGATTTTGGGTTGACATCGGGTCATACCAGAAAGGGGGCCGGGGCATTTTGCTCAGAAACATCAAAGAAGGTGACAGTGACAGGCAGCGTGACATGCTGGGGGCAGTAGGACCCACTAGCTCCAATCTCTGCGGTGAAGCCCTCAATGTGGCCAGATGGTGCAAAGCGTCCTCGAAGCAATGACTCCTAGGGTGGGAAAACACACTCTGAAAGAGATGCCAGCTGTCCTCCTTATCCATCCAAGCCATACTCCACCATCCCACTTCCCCCAAAACTCCCCCATCATGGAATCCAGGGGTAACTACCTCAAAGTTGCCCAACAGGGTACGGCTGATTGCGGGGGTAGGAACAGGGGAGGCACTGGGGGGGCTCAGCAGGTCTGGGCCCTTCTGGAGGCTTCGAAGGGAGCTCCTGGTAGGGCAGGGATACACAGTGGGTTGGCTTGAGGTGTTCTGGGATGTCTGCTCATGCTCTTAGGCCCCACCCTTTACCATTACCCGGGGCTTCTGCCCTGGGGTCCCCTACCCTGGAGTGAGAAAGAGGATTAGAGACTTCTGTCCCCATTTTCCAGGGACAGGACAAAGAGGGAAGCTGGCCACTTACAGCTTCAGGCGACGGGCACCTTTCAGCCTCCGTCCCATAGGACTGCAGTCTGTTGGATCCTATGGAGAACAAAGATTGAAGAAAAGGATTGGGTGGAGGCCAGATATGTTTGGAGAAGGGGGGGCTCATCGCGAGCTCTATAGAAACATTCCCCCGGGCCCTCACCTTTTCCCAAAGGGGAGGAGGATAGGGGGTTAGACAGAAAAGGGGAAGGGGACTTAGAAATACAAATTTCCACTTATAAAATAAGTCACAGGGATATAACGTATAGCATAGGGAAGAGTCATAATGTAATAACTATGCACAGTGACAGATTGGTACTAGACTTATCGTGGTGATTACTTTGTAAGGTATATAAATGTTGCATCACTATGTCGTATAGCTGAAGCTAATATAATACTGTGTCAATTATAATTTAAGATAAATTTTAAAAAATAGTAGACCACCTCCTCTCCTGGCTTACCAGCACAGGCTCCTTGGGCCCAGGCAGCAGGTGGCTCCAGAAGGGTGTGACTTTGGCATCAGAACTGTTGGCAGCAGGAGGGTGACCCAGGGTTCCCCGGCGCTTCTGAGGGGCTGGCCCCTCATCCTCAAAGCTGACATCCAGAGCTTCTCCAGCAGGAAGCAGCCTTCGCTTGGTGGGGCAGGGGCCTGGAGGTCCAGGGCCAGGGGGTGTGTGCTCGGGACTGTGCCCATTGGCAGTGCCAGGGCATTCCCTAGGCCAGGGGCTGCCCCCATTGCCCACCCCAGCCACTGGGCTCTTACACCCTATTTGTGCAAGACTGTGCAAATCAGTGTCAAGTGTGTGCAGCTGGCCTGTAGGGGCTCGCCCTGGGGACTCCCCAAGGGACCCCTGTCCCCCGGGATCTGGGGAAGCCCAGTCTCTGGTGTGCAAAGTATTGCAGGAAGCATTTGATGGGGGCCAGGGGAGACTCTGGGCCCCTGAAGTCCAAGGTGAGGTGGAGCTACCTCCCTGTTCTACAACACACAGGCCATGATGGCAGAAATGCTGGCTGGCCACACCCAGCCCCAGCCCCAGCCCCAGCCCCTCTGGGCCCAATGGCCCCACAGTAGATGGTTCTTCAGGGGGTTGTCCCTCTCTGACCCCCAGCCCAGGGCCTCTCTTCAGCTCCCGGGGACCCTCAGTAAGTGGGGATGACCGTTTCAGGGCCCTGTGAGGCTCAGAGGCACCAGCTGGAGAGGAAAAGATGGATACCTGGTAGACCCTGGGGGATGTCGCCCCTCCTGCTGGGCTGTAGCCCATGAGCAGGCCACCCTGGCGGGCCCCCTGCCTGACTGCAGGCTGTGAAGGGCCAGCCTCTGGCTCTGAGGATGGAGATGGCTCCGCCTGCACGTGGCGCATGAAGACCCCCTTGTGTCAGGGGGGCCCCCCCTCACAGCCTTTATGCTGGGCCTGGGCTGGGGGGTCTGGGGACATCTGTGCAAAAGAAGAGAAAGAAAAAAAGGTGGTCAGAGGAATCCATGAGTTTTCTCCCTCCCAGCTGAGTTTCAGGTCCTTCCCTGGCCTGGAGAGGTGACCTTGAGGGTTAGCGGGGATAAAGGTGTTCAGATCCCTAGATGGATTAATGGAATACAGAAGCCACTCCAGAGCTTCTGAGAGGGTGACATGTTTAGCTCAGGTTTCTTACTGGACCTGCTCCACCTCCCTCTTTCTGGCACTCACCCCGGTGAAGAGGCCTTAAGCCTAGCTGAGTGTTCCCTCTTTCCGACTGATGTCTTGCTCTCCTAGCTTGTAGTCTGGTCCATGCCCGCTGCAC